GATCCTCCTGTTTTCCACCTCCCAAGCGCTGGGATTACAGGCTTGTGTCACCACGCCAAGTCTCAATGCCTGTCTCAGCATGCCTTGGGGGCGGGGCCGGCATGGCACCTGGGATCGACTCCTGTCCCCTGTGCTCTGCCTAAGCAGGCGCTTTAGTCCACTTAGCTATCTGGTGAGCCCTTTTAACTACATGTTTATATAGTGAGAGTACTACTTAGCGCTTTGAAACATACATAAATACCACCTTGTGAAATGCTGATGTTTCCAGACGTGCCTGGTGTGGAGGCCCTGCCCACGCTGCACACGCCGCCCTTCTGGTTGGCATGTTGGTCTTTTTGTGGCAGCTGAGGTGCAGTGCGGTTCTTGCCTGCAGATCTGCAGCAGCAGCCTGCAGCTCCCGGGCAGCCGAGAGGTCGTGGGGCCACCCGTGATGCTCTGGCTGTGCCGCGTGGCCGGACTGTGGTAGTGGCAGCTTAGGCGCATTGATGTGTTCACCTTTTTTTTTTTTAAAAAAAAAGAAAAAAGTAATAGAAATAAAAATGAGTTTTGAAACAGCTAAAAGGAAAGTAACAATAATTAATATATAGCGTGTTATCTTTGTATTTGCTCAGAATATAAGATATAGGCATGAAATATTGTCCACACAGTATCCCCACAAGCCTTTCTTCTCAATGAACCAGAGAGACTAGCTGTATAACTATTTTTTAACTATCTTGTATATATATTTATACTTTTTTCCCTTTTCTTTTTACCTTTTCCCCATCAGTGTCTTTTTCCTTTTAAACAATTTCTTCCCTATTTCCAATATCTATTGTACATTTTGGATCTTATTTATTTGTTCAGCTCCTCACACTAATGAGATTATATGATGTTTACGATGCAAATCTGATTTATTTCACTTACAAGTATGGTCCTCGAGTTGCATCCATTTATCTGTAAAAGTCTCCAGTTCATCCTCCTTTATGGCTGAATAGTACTCTGTTACATATAAAAACCCACATGTTATTTATCCATTCCTAGATTGATGGGCATTTG